CCAGCCTCTACCTCCAGGTCAGTTAATGGCATATTCTGTCATCATTATGGTCTTTGTTAGTAACAGGATGAGACACTGTTGAGCACTCATCAAGAGCTTTCCTTTTAAACAACAAAATGCCATCTGGGATTGTTGTTAACGTTGTTTGTTTTTCCACAGGAGGTCCCGGTTTAGAGCCTCCATACAGACCTGCCCGCAACCCACAGATGAACAAAATGATGCCCAACCGGCCCAGCTACCCAGGCATGATTCCCGGTATGCAGGGGGGCATGCCTGGCATGATGGGCATGGACAAGCAATACCCGATGGGTTATAAGCCCCAGCCCACCATGCCTCAGGGCCAGATACTGCGGCAGCAGCTACAGGTCAGACTGGTGAGTCGGTCCACACCCATTATAGCTGGATAGAGTTGACCATAAAGAGTAGTTATACACATATACAACATTATTATATGTTGTATATGTGTTTTTAAGTGAAAAAAATGCCATCAAATACTCTTCCACTCCTGGTAGAAGCATCGAATCTTTGCTGTTCACTGACTTGCTGTTTCTCTTTTCAGAATCAAAGCATGATCGGGCAGCAGATCAGACAAATAACCCCTAACCAACCATATACTTCGATGCAGGCATCTCAAGTAAGCCTATTTTGGTCGCCCTTTGTTTTTCCTAAGTATTGCATTTACTATCTGACACCCCTTTTTCAGATGTATGTATATATATTGTCTGACACCTTTATTTATTGAAGAATTATAAAAAGCTTTTTGAACATGTTTGTGTTCACCATGCCACCATTTTCTAAAAGTTTGCCATTTACACATTCAGTGCCGTAGTATACGCTTGGACAAGCCTTTCAGTTTTTTTTTTTATGTTTACTACAATGATATCCTGATGTTAACACTTAAAAAAATCGTCTCCTTTGTCTTGCTTTTAATCATGATCATTTTCTCTGTTTGCTCAGAACATATCTCAGGGCTATACCACATACGGATCACATATGGGGATGCAGCAGCATCCGTCCCAGGTTGGTGGTATAGTTCCCTCCTCCTATGGAAACCAGAACTTCCAGGGCACTCATCCTGGAGCCAACCCGGCTGTGGTGGATCCTCTTAGGCAAATGCAGCAAAGGCCCAGTGGTTATGTTCACCAGCAGGCTCCAGGCTACGCAAACAATATGCAGAACACACAGAGGTCAGTATTGTTTTCAAGTTAGGCTGCTGCTTTCTTAGCTGCTTAGTAGAACTTACGGTACAACTGATGTTGAGTTTACATTATAAGTGTTTGTCCTTGATTTTATGTAGACTACAAAGCTTACTTCTTCCTGTCCTGTGATCCTCAGGTTTGCCCACCAGCCAATCCAGAATCCCATCATGCACGGTCTCAGTCACATGGGAGGACAGGGTGGCCATCCAGGAATGAGGCCCAATCAGATGCTGGCAGAACAACAGCAGCAACAACAGCAGCAGCAGCAACAGGCAGCGCAACAGCAGCAGTACCTCAGACAACAAGCACTCAGAGTATGTTTGTTGATTATTCGTTTATCCAGGTGTTAAGCAAGCGGCAACCTATTGGCATGACAACTGAAGCCCATGCAGAAATGCCTTAAACCTGCAGTTTTTGCATAGCCCACAAACCAATGGGTTACTTAAGGGAGGCTACATTAGATTATTCATTTTATAGGGAACATGCAAAGTGAAAAGGAGGCCGTGTGTGTACAACTTTTTGAATTGCGTCTCCCTGAGGCTACCAAGTGTTTTACTAAAAGTCTTTATCTCAGAAACTAACAATTGATTGTTTCCTGTTTTTACAGCAGCAGCAGGCCCAACAAGCTCAACAACAGCAGCAGCAGCAGCAGCAGCAGCAACAACAACAACAACAGCAGCAACAACAACAACAGCAACAACAACAGCAGCAGCCGCAACAGGTCCAGCCCCAGCAGGTTCCTCCTCAACAGCAGGTTGCTCAGCAGCAGCAGCAGCAACAACAACAACAACAACAGCAGGTGGCAGCGGGACCACCTCAGGGCCAGCAGCAGAACCCGGGCCTGGGCATGCAGCCTCTGCCCCCCCAACAACCCATGGTAGGTCCAATCTGGAGGACGGGACATTCATTAGTGCAGTTGTTGGTAGTATGATAGTTTAAGGAGTTTTGTGATCCTTGTGAAAATGTTTAGTATTGTCTGGCACAGAATGTTTTAGTCAATTAACAAATGTGTAATAATCAATGTGTACCTTTTTTCTTTTTGTGTGGATTTAGCTTAGGTTTATTGTGTCCAGGGAACAACCATACTGTATATATTGTACTACTTTTTAAAAGATCAACTTGTAGTAACTTGATATAACAAAGCACAATATGATGCTTTAATCTCTGTGGGGAACAATAGTACATTTACCATTTTGGGATCATTCTGGAGGCTTCCTGGTTCATTGAAGACATTTTAACACATTAATTGACACCGCTACTTGACTCCAAATGTTGAAGGTCTACATGTATGGCTTGTAGACAGGATTTTCTTTTTAAAAGCCAGCTGTTAAAAATGTACCGTTTGATGAAAACTGCAAGTTGTTGAAGACAGTGTGCTACAAAACTTTGGAATACATTTAGCACAACTTGTGTATATGTGCAACTAGTAGGTAATGGGAGAAAATGTCAGAAATTGCCTCAATAGCAATGTGTGTATCTCTCTTTCAGTTCCCACGACAGGGAATGCAGCAGACTCAGCAGCAGCAGCAGACTGCCGCTCTGGTCCGACAGCTGCAACAGCAACTTTCAAGTGAGTCAGAAACTTTCAAAACTCATTGTCTCCATCGCTGTGTAATATGAGCAACAGATTTAAGGTTTATAATAAAACCTTCCCTCTCTTTTCAGATACAACACCAGGACAGGGCGCCAATTCATATTACTGATCGTGCGTGTTCCTAGTAGTATGTGAAGAATAGGCCCTTATTATGTGAAGAGGCCCTGCTCGTAGATTGGCAGATGAATGTGTCCAGTCCCGTGTAGGTTGTTAGGCGGGGAGACTGTTTGAGGCACAAAGGACCATGAAACCACATCCCTTCTCCACAAGTGATGTCAGCGATCAGAAAATATCTTGACTTCAGTCGTGTAATTATGGATTATCAAAGGAGGGATCCTGCTCTGAAGTAAACAGATAATGGTAATAATGGAAAAGTCTATGTAAAAAAGTACCAGAAATTATAAGAATAATGCAATTTTTTTATTTTATTTCAATTTGTACAATTTTTTCAGTTTCGTGTATTTCTCATTAAAAAATCATGTCAGTTTTTATGTCTTGTACTTGTGTTAGCTGCCTGTTTACTCTATATGAAAACAGTCAATGGACTCTTGCATGATAAAGTTGGGATGAAAGGATTTGTTCTAACAAGTATGTTGAAAGGCAAAATACTTGAATAACTTACATTTTCTGTTGAGACATTGGTTTAGTCATGATACATTGATCCAGTCATGATACATTGATCCCATAACTTAAAGGTCCCATGTCATGCTTTTCCGGTTATTACCCGTCCACTTGTGTGTTATGAATGTTTTTATGCATGTAAACGGTCTGCAGAGTCACAAACCCTCAAAGTACACCCTGTAGCGAGTAAAACTCTTAACACAGAAAAGACCTGTCTATGCTGCCCCAGAACGCCTCGTTGGAGATTTCTCTTTTTCTTCCTGGGTACAGTGACTTGCCCATACCCAAATGGACCCATTGGTCCAAATGGACCAATCCGTGGAGCCGTTACGTTAAGTCCGTGGATTGGTCCAAATTGACCAACCCGCGGACTTCCCCACACACACACACACTCAATCTTTTCTCAGCTGCAGCTCCGATGATTTCTCCTCCCTGAGACGGCGGGAGGCTGTGAGTCGGTGTGTGAGCACACACACAAACTCCCAGCCAGGCTGCGGGTGTGTGTGTGTGTGTGTGTTCGGTCTGGGTTTCGCTGTCTCGCAGACGGCCACTGGGCTCATAGGGAGGGAGGGAGGGGGGGGGGGGCAAGAGCTCCAACAAGCCGTTTAGGACAGAGAGTGAATACACATACTATACAGCAGGGCTTCTCAAACTCCGGGCCGGATCCGGACCGAACTGCAAATCAATCCGGACCGAACCCTGTGTCCCATTATAAATAAAAAAATTCTGATTCTGATAAATGAATGTACATCATGTACGCGCGTCTTGTGTCTAACGCGTTGTGAGAATGAACGTGCATATATATTTACTTGTGTGCGCGAGCATGACACGCATAGCAGACCGCAAGTTAACCTTGACATACTGTATGTATGTATTGAATGTGTGTGTGTGTATACAGGGGCGCCGTTTACCGACAGGCAAGGCAGGCAAGTGCTTGGACCAGAAGGGGGCCCCCAAAGAAGGTAGATTAAGAAGGTCCACAGCAACGACAACATGAAACACCCTTTAATTTACTGCAACGACATGTCGGGGAAACTCCATGCATAGAGCGCCAAGAAACTGCTTCTTAATTTCAGTTTCGTTTCTCCGCTTGGGGGGGGAAGGGGACTTTACTGGCATTGATCCGGACCAGTGACCTTGTATAAAGTTCACAACTGGACCTTTAATTAAAAAGTTTGAGTACCCCTGCTATACAGACATGCTGTATGAGAAACCAATGCGATTTTGGAAAATTGCACAATATAAATCTATTTTAGTATACCTCAACAATGGAATTATGATCAGTAGAAATGGCCATGACATGGGACTTTTAAATTAAGGTTATAAACCGGCAACTGAAGAACATAAGAGTCTTGGGAAAAATAAGTTTATATCTTTTTAGGTTTAGGTTTACTTATATCCTTTGCAGACATTTGACTTGACATAAAGAAGTCATAAGCACAGGTGTCAGTTATAACATTAACAATGGTGCCATTTTTTTTTAAGTGTCCCAGCAAGCCAGTGCAACTGCCTGCATTCACAATACCAGGGCCCCGAAAACGAAGCAGCTAAGTGAATCTTGCGGATATATACCATCAACAGCCACAGAAGTTTTATTTCTTTATTGATTAAATCAGTACAGGAAATAAAACTGTTCCTCATTTCACTTTTTAGCCTTCTTTGTTTTCTTATGGTTTTGTTTATCTATATCCAGATTTTCCAAGCGAGTAAAAAGCACTCCAGTGTCAGATCCTAGGACTCTCCCTTCAAACGGACAGTCCATTCCCCTAATCTTTGGCAGGAAGTTCACATCAGCCAAGCCCCTCTCGTCTGGTTGCACCCCGAGTCTGGAGAGCAGTTTGTCAGAAATCTCCGGCACTACAGGCTGGAGGAGTGTGCCATAAATCCTCAGGCATTCGAAGGAGACATGGATGATGGTGTCGAGCCAGTGCTGGTCTGTAATGTCACTCCTTTCCAGCTTCCAAGGTGCATGGCGCTGAATAAACCCGTTGGTCTGCCTCACACAGGCACTGATGGCCTCCAGAGCTTTGTAAACATGCATGCTCTCATAGTGCTGCTCCACCACAGCAGGGAGGTTTTTCACAGCCTCCAACATGTGGTAGTCTTCACCCACAGCCCTGCCTCCCCGTTCACTTGGAAAGGACTGAGGGCAGAAGGCAGTGTAGACCTGAGCTGGGTTTAGAGCTGGAGCTGTGCAGCGGTTCAGAAGACCGCCCAGAGAATCAGCCAGCTCTGTGTTTAGCAACTTGAAAGCTTTGTCGTCTGTGTAGTCACTGTCCGAGTCTGGGACACCCTGACGCAGAAGAAAGTACCGCATACCATCAGTTGTGAACTGTTTTGAGCGTTCAAGAGGGTCCACCACATTACCCAAACTTTTAGACATCTTCTTTCCTCCTACGGTCCAGTGAGAGTGCACGTAGATTGTTTGTGGCAGCGGCAGTCCAGCTCCGAGAAGAAAAGCTGGCCAGTAGACGGCATGGAATTTTAAGATGTCTTTTCCAACTATGTGGTGGGCCACGTTCCACCAATGGTTGTGTTTATCTGGATAGCCAGCCACAGTGAGGTAGTTCACAAGAGCATCCAGCCACACATAGATGGTTTGTTCAGCATCACCTGGGACCGGGATGCCCCACTGAAGGCGGCTTCTCTGGCGGGACACTGAAAGGTCAGGAAGGTCATCCTGCAGCCACTTGAGGACAAACTGGTAGAAAAGCTCAGGCTGTATAGCCCGGGGATTTCCTTTGAGCCAGTCGAGCAGCTGAGAGCGAAACGCAGACAGACGGAACATGTAGTTCTCCTCTTTCATCCACTCCACCTGCAGAATAATGGAGATTTGGTTGAAGTTCTCTTGATGGAGTAAAACTGACCATTTTCTGGAGGTGTGATTTGATTTCTGCCTAAATAAATAGCTCCACATTTGAGTTATTCTATTTTATTTTATTTTTTACCAGAGTTAGATACCGTGCCACGCTACATAGTGGGTTCAGAGGTGCTGGTAGGCAGATTTAGCTTTGTATAGAGGCTAGCTAGTTTATATTACTTCCAAGTTTATGACACAGATGACCGATCGTAAAACAAGGATGCTCAAAATCATTATACCAGAGTCTGAGGTGTCTTGGGTTTAATTCCCTTTAACAAAACAGAAGACAATATATATACATGGAAATTCGACTGTTATTAAATAGCAATATATGTGTTTGTCTTTGCCAACACTCAAAGCACTTGTGTAAGACCCTGCCTGCCTGGTTAACACCGTAATATTTCAACCCCATGCCCATATTCTTTTATTGCAGTCTTAAAGCCAAGACCTAAGTGTGTTACATCTGCAGTTCTCCTTTAAAGTTTCTACTCATTCATCTCCACTAAAATCACACTCATGCCATCATCCCAATTTAGCTTCAAACTACCTTGTGGCCACTCTCCAGCGATACTTTGATCTCGTTCCCTGATGAGTCCACAGCGTCCCCGACCTGCAACGCCGTGAGGAAGCTTTCATCTTGGGTGGAGTACCAGCCTTCATAACTGCCCTTGTAGATGAGCCCTTTGTTCCAGAGCACTGACCAGAAGTGTTTCACAGCCTGATGGTGTCTCTGCTCAGTGGTTCTTATGTAGTCTGTATACGATATGTTGCAGCTGTTGAAGAGATGTTTGAATCTCTCAGACACATCGGTGCAAAATGTCAGGGGATCCTTTCCTGCAGCTTCAGCAGCTTGTTGGATTTTCAAGCCGTGTTCATCTGTGCCTAAAATGCAAAATAATGGGGAATATTATTATTGATTGCTTGGTAAATCATTAAGACTATGAAATGTCAAGAAGATGTGTGCCCATTTAAATGTCCCAGAGTACAAGAGGATGTCTTCAAATTGTCTGCCAAACAGTCGCAAACCCCAAATAATTATTTTTTGAAAAATCCAACTAAAAAAATCGCTTTCTCTTAGGATAAATCAAAATACTATATATTCTCTACCAGGTGCAAACTAATCTTCACTAAGGAATAAGGAATGGCATAAATGCACATACATAATAGTGCACAGACATTAAATATAAGTTTTAGTATAATGTAGAGATGTATAAAACAGGACTTAAATACCAGTCCAATAAATACTGTTAAATAATCATTTATTTTGGACAATGGAGGATTTACCTGTTGCAAACTTTGAGTTGAAGCCCTGCAGTAGCTTGTACCTGTGTAAGCAGTCAGCTATCACAGCTGAATACAAGTGTCCTAAATGAGGAGAGGCATTGACATAGAAGATGGGGGTCGTTATGTAGTAACTCCTGTCGTCTTCGCAGGAAACAGTGCTTGCATTTCTCAACACAGAGATCGTCTGATGTCTGTATAGAGCTGAAACCGGTGAGACAAATGCACTTTGTTGCAGTCTGTGAATAGCCTTACAGCTTCTAGTGACAAGCAGAAAAGGGGTCCTCATCTTTGGAAAGCATGCGATTTTCACGTGTAGAAAACCAATAGAGTGAAGAAATGATTTGGTAAGTGCTAGCCATTCGTTTAGCTAGCTACAATGTGAAGTTTTTCGCACTAAAACAGATCATCTGAGAAACACAACAACTGTCGGGACAAATACTGGTAGTCCTAGTTAATGTTACCGATTTATTTTTACAGGAATCATTTAATGCAAGGCTTTTTCCGTCATACCAAAAGCACAAGAGTTTTGCTCGCTTGTCAAGGTTAGCTCTTCTTCCGGTTTCTATAAACAACAATCCCTCGCCCAATCAAAACACGTTATAGTGCGCAACGATCACCAACCACCAATCAGATTGCGAGGGCTCGCTTTGCATCATTCTGCTCATTGCTCAACCTTACTTTTTCAGATGTTACATTTAGATAGATAGATAGAATCGGAGGGATGAAACCCTCTTTAATGGTCACACATGCAGAACACACAGCACACACACAGTGACATTTGATTTCATATTTAGCCAACCTGCAGCAGTTTTAGGAGACAATCATTAAGACAGAATTAAGCCCATGGGTGCGCACATTTGAAGGAACAGGGGAAGGTCCTTTTCTTAAAATAACTTTATTGGAATAGTACAACAATTGTAGAACAGTGACAGAATGAATATCCCACTATTATGTTTGCTGGGAGAGAAAATACTTCTCCATATTCGCCAAGGGTATCAGGCACCAATTACTTTATGGTAGGGTAGGGCAGGGCAACAGACTAGTTGACTAGTGCAAAAAGTGCAAATTCCAAAAAAAGGCAATTTATTTTCATCATCTGCTATAGCAGACCAAATACACACAGATGGGTAGTGTATATTAAAGGCAGTAACTTATATTATGTCTACAAAACTAACGTAAATCTCCATCATAATACAAATGGATGGAATGTGCATGGAGACGCTAACGGGGCTCGTCGGGGCGGGACCTGGCACGTGACTGGTGCGCGGCTCTGTAAGACACAAAGCCACGCCCATCTTCATGAACGTTTTGAGGAAGTCCCGTGACGACCAGCCAATCAGCTGCTCCACCTCCTGATGTCAGGCAACGACGACGAATGGGGTTGACGTGACAACAGAGGTAAAACATTAAACAAACTGTAATTTTAAGCGGCATTTTAATATGGTATTAAAGTGAATAAGTAAGATAAGTCAGGTTAGTCGCTAGTTATAATTGTCATGGTATCTCTCGCCGTCTTCAGTTTTAACATCGTTGAAAGTCAGTGAGACTGAGTCAGCCCATCATGTGATGTTAACCATCGGGTGCCTTCTGTTGCTCCTCGACTAAATGAAAACAGTTATTTACGGAAGCAACACTGTATCCTGTTTCAGATGGACGGGAACCGTAAGGATTTTTACATCGGTCTCTCTCTGGCTGTGAGCTCCAGTGTTTTCATCGGTACAAGTTTCATCCTAAAGAAGAAAGGCCTGCTGCGATTGGCCAGCAAGGGTTCAGTGCGAGCAGGTACTGTGATCTTTATCAAATTTCAACACAACTTTATTTATAAATGTTTTGGGTGAGAGTACCAATATGGTGGTTTGATAACTCATTTGTATGCAGTGCGGAAGTGCCACGGTGAAAAGTAAACATTCTCAGAGAAGTAGTACAAACCATGTCCAAAACTTCTCTATAATTAGACTCAACTAACTCATGACTGTTGAAAGATACTCTGACTGATAAAGGGCAACTCGTGTAACTCTTGCAAAAACTACGATTATGAGAAACAGAAACTGTTGTTCAGGCTCTTACATTGGTTGTGAAATTATATTAATATCAAAAGTGCTATTTGTTTAAGATTTGTTTTGTTTTATATTTGTGTTGATATATATTGTTGTATATATTTTTCTATCCAAATGATGGTCACCTGCAAGGACAAGGGTGTAGGAGGGTTAAAATGATGTGTTATCTATTCAAACATTCAAATGTCTGTATTCTTGTGATGTAAAACTTAACTAAATGTGTTATTTTTTAAGTAAAATTAAAGCAATAATAGTGTCGAAGAACTGCCCCTGTCAGTGTCACTAGCCTTAAGGGTTGACTTTCCTTGGGATATGAAGTGTCTTTATTGTTTAGGAAGCTAATTACCCTCTAACATTGAATCCGTTAGAATATATTTTATGTAAGAAACTTACATTTTGATACGAAATGTACTTCAGCTTTGTTTTCTGTATCTCACAGGTCAAGGAGGGTATACTTACCTGAAAGAATGGCTATGGTGGGCAGGACTTATTTCAAGTAAGTGAACAATTGACAAACTTAGTTCTGCAAAATGTGTGATAGTGTCAGCTGCTATATGTTGCTTGTTGACACCAGCCATGCTCAGAAACATTGTGGTCTTTGTCTTTCAAAGTGGAAATGAGGCTGTTGTGGGTTTGGTATTTTTGCTGGCGACGTTGCTCTTGATGCAGCACCCACACTATCTTTGAAGCACACATTCCTACAAAGAGCACATTTGCAGTGCACGTGGGTTGAAAGACAATACTCTTTTTAAACCACCAGCGGCTATGAATTTGTTAACACTGATGGTCATGTTTATATTCTAGTGGGAACTGGAGAGGCCGCCAACTTTGCTGCATATGCATTTGCTCCGGCCACACTGGTGACTCCTCTTGGAGCATTGAGTGTACTTGTAAGGTGATTGTTTTTTTCTTGTTGCAATTTTTCATGGCACTGATGAATCAGATACTTCTATGTATCCCTGGACTGATCTTTTTAATGTGTAGTTTCAAATGTGTCTTAACTCTCTGTGTCATAATTTGTTTTCCCTTACAGTGCGGTGCTCTCCTCTTACTTTCTGAATGAGAGGCTGAATGTGCATGGGAAGATCGGCTGTTTGCTGTGCATCTTGGGCTCCACAGTGATGGTGATCCATGCCCCACAGGAAGAGGAGGTTGTCTCCCTCAGTGCTATGGCTGAGAAGCTCAAAGACCCAGGTAGGACCAGCCCTTCATTAGTGTGATCTCATTAACCATGGTGTGACAGATTGTCTTTTCATGGTACTAACTCATTCTTGAATGCTCCCACTAGGTTTCATTGTGTTTGCTGTGTGCGTTGTTGGAAGCAGCCTGGTTCTTATCTTTGCCGTGGCTCCGCGGTTTGGACAGAAGAATGTGCTGGTCTACATCCTGATCTGCTCTGTGATTGGCTCCCTGTCTGTGTCTTGTGTCAAGGGCCTGGGCATTGGCATTAAGGAGCTGTTTGCTGGGACAGCAGTGCTGAAGGAACCCCTGTTCTGGTCCTTACTCATCTGCCTGGTAATCTGTGTCAGCGTTCAAATCAGTTACCTGAACAAAGCCCTCGACATCTTCAACACCTCCCTAGTCATTCCCATCTACTACGTCTTCTTCACCACCTCCGTCATGGCCTGCTCAGCCATTCTCTTCAAGGAGTGGTTGAGAATGACCACTGACGGAGTAGTTGGAACAATCAGTGGGTTCCTCACCATCATTTTTGGGATCTTCCTCCTCCATGCCTTTAAAGACATTGTATTTAGTTTTGAGTCCCTCCCTCTCTTCCTGAGGAAGGGTCCTCAGGGCTTTCCATGGGGGCCCCAGTCTTATGTGGCTCTTCCCAGCCACGACACACAAGCAGAGGATGAGGTAAAACTGCCCAGAGAGGGAAGCTCTAAGGGGGGGTGGGGTACGCACCAGAGAACTCCTTAAGGATAGTCTTTCCACTATTGACAAAAAATGCTTATAACAATCCTAAAGCTTTACTGCACATCACAGCCATACAATGTGAGAAATTAGTTACTAATAGTCATGTTATAGTTTTACATAATGCAGTATGCACTGGATGAACATAGTTGCCTTAAGTGAGAATAATATTCTTGTCAGCATACTGGATTTTATATTAAATGTTTCCTAGTTCAACATGATGGTGAATTCACTTTAGTAAAAAAGAAAAGCCAGATAGAATTATGATCTGAAGTATAATGTAGGTTATAACTAATTTGTTGCACTGCTCTGTACATTTTGTATTGTTTATAGTATATTAAGTTTAAAAATAATGAACATTGAATAGCCTGCATAAACCAAGTGTGCCTTGCTACTGTAAACAATAACCGTATTCATAGGTTAGCACTTTTAAATAAGCATATATTGAACACATTTATGATTTATAGACAATGCAAAAGCAAGAACAAAAACTACCCTGAATGCATTTCAATCATCCGTTGATGAAGTTTGAGTAATACTTTGACCTGTTACTGTAATACCTCATTATTGTATACAAACTGCACCAAAGAATGTTTTTTTTCCCTGTGTGGATTAACTTCCAGCATGTGCCAAGCTGTTACATATCTATGATGTAAGAGAACTTTGTGTGTGTTTCATAATGCAGATTAAAAACACAGCTACAACATGACTTGACTCAGTGTTTCCAAAAGATAAGACAAGATGATATGGCATTATGTTTATTGCATATGTACAATCCAGAACCTCACGCCTTTAGGGTCAAGACATCTGTTACTTCTCTTAAATTACAGCAGGTTGTGTGTTGAGTCCTTGTGGTTTTCAAAATCAGACAGGTGAGTCTGAATGTCCTTGTGATGCGTGATGCTATCTACAGTAGCCCACATTCAAGCTCAGTATCCCAGTTTAACCAGAGGCTTGGAAAACAGAACATGAGGTCACTGCTAGCAATAGATCACAATCTGAGCATTTTGCCTTAAACTCTAAACTTCTGCATCCATACGTTGTGTTAATCTGAGGCACTTGTAAGAAATGTAACATTTATTGTTTTTCCTTTTTCCAGTTGAACAATAAGTTCATTACAGACGGCGGTGTCAGCCTCTTCATGGAGCCGGGGTCACGTGCATGTGTCTCATCAGTCCTTTCAGTTCAGACAGTTTTTATTCCAACATGTTCTCAGATTTAAAGCCCTTGCTCTGTTCCAGCCTATTTAGGATGAAGTTGCTGGTGTCTATAAACCGCTCCACGCAGTTAACGAAGCACATTTCTGTCCTGGAGTCCAGTTTTGGACCGGGCTTATCCATACATTTGTCCTGGAGACAGAGAGACAAATTAAAGCAATGTGCAACAAATGGTATACATCACAGTTATCAGAAGTGGTGTAACGCACTTAACATTAAGAAGGGATTATCTTGCATTAGTGCATTTCCCCAGCACTGAACTCAACTATCTCTGTCAATTTTTTATGTACCAAAACGCTCCAACTACTAACAAGGTGGAGTTCAAACATAAACTGGCGAAAAACAAGGCTTTTTCTTATAGGTTTTGCATCAAACAACATTAGAGACATAAATCTTATAATATTCACAAAATATATCCCACAAACGTGTAAATATCTATGGGTAAGATTGGAGAAATTATGATTTGTCTGTTTTATCATTGCCCATTATGTATAACATTTTGGAAAGACTGGTCTTGATTTAAGCTTAATAGAAATTAAAAGTTTACATACAAAAAGCTGCATTTCTTAATTCAACACCATATTTGAAGTGGTTTTTCACTTAAACTGAATGATATTTAGGTATTTTAAATTTGAAACAAATAACGAAAGCATGTCGGTCAGTGGCAAAACATATTCAGATCTTTATCTGAAGAAGTGTTTCACCTAAAAGTGTTTCTCTTGTATTTGTAGTGTTCTGAAGCAGCTAACTTTTGTTTCTTTATTACCTGAACTGACTGCCTGTTTACTTTCAGTCCAGTATCATAACATGTTTACAATGGACGTAGAAAACGTTTAAATTCTACTTGTCCACACTTCTCCTTCTCCGTTGCACTGACGTTAGCTACAGCAGGCCGGGGGAGTGACAGTGGCTCTCCAGGGTAATGTTATTCAATATTTTGTCTTACTAATATGTATTAGTTACACACAAATAGTACACACTTCTAAGATCACGGCGACATTTGAAGATAACACCTGCAGCATCATAAAAAGGTAGAAACGCTTATGTTTCACATGCTGTGCAGGGAGAGCTATTTGACCGAAACCCGGAAAGACATGGAGTGCACTGGGTCACAAATGTGGCATGAAGTACATTTCAGGACAATATTGACTAAACTAATAAAACACATGCTTCAATGTCGACATTAGACAGGCTAGCTAACAGTTGTAGCTACAGACAATATGTAAAAAGTTCATTGCAGAGCTGCACTGCTAGCTTAAAGCTGATCTTACCCAGCAAACCCCAGTCATCTGATGCACCAGCTGCTGAAATCTTTGTTTCTGAGTCTCGCTTTCGATGAAACGCTGAAGCTGAGGGTCCGCTGTAGCTCCCTGGCTGTTCATATTTCCCTAAAAAGCGGCCGTAAGAGCAATATTCATCCAAATATGTAAGCCTTGTGGCTCTGTTGCTGACCTTCACGTGTATGTATGGACGACAGGATGTAGGAATTACTTCAACCAATCACAGAGCACGTTCTTCAGGTGATTGTCGTCATAATTCAAGCGTCATTTTTCATAACGGCCATTTTCAATACATTACCCTTTGGTTTATTAAACAAATAATACCACTTTATCTGAAAGTATTATTGCTATTTTGGATTATAATGTTGGATCAACAGCTCTATAAGATGTTTTGATGTTTTGTAATTTCTATTTCACATGATAATTCAATTTCAAAGCCCTGCATACTTGGCTTTTATTTGTGCAATTAGATATGTTCTACCAAATCTTGTTTCCACATGCAGAAGTGTCTACAATTCACACTGATTTCACGGAATACAATACACAGAGTACAATAAAGAAAGAACACCTTCAATAAAATATACACATCTATAAGTAGGACTGTACTTCTAGTATTGTAATAGGAAGGCTTATGTAATCAGTGATTAAAAGCAACACTCATATTTCACATAATGCACATTACAGAGGACCTCAGTGTGGCTGTGCGGTCCCATGTTCAAGCTGTAAACTGGTTCAATGCTTGTGTTTTCAGGGACAGACGGAGATGCTGGTGTGGCGGGATCAACTGTCTGTTTGTGTTGATGTCTTTTGACTTTTCTGAAATCTACTGGAGCTCGTACAGCAAATCCTGAACAGTCAGCGCCAGCTCCTGGAAGGTGGGTCTTTCATCTGCTTTCTGAGAACAAAAAAGAACAAAAAAAGAGGCTGTGAGATTGGTATTCAGAATCTATTTTTTGTATGATATGCAATCCTCAGTCTGGACTAAACCCTCTGAGGCCTACAACCCAAAATCCACTTACATCCATCCAACAGCTTGTCATAATGTTGTAGACCTTCTCATTGGCCAGCTGGGGGCGGAAGAGGCGCAGGCCCCGGGACACCTGATCCACTATTTCCGTGTTGTTAAGGCGCTCATACGGAAGTCGTCCCAAAGTGTACACCTCCCACATAAGAACCCCTAAATATTAATAGAAATAGTTAATCTGGTGAAAAAAATGAATGTTTCTTTAATACAGATGTGACTTCATAGTTTACACTTGACCTGCAAAGCAGTGGGGAATTCAAAAACACATACTTTACTCACCATATGCCCATATGTCTGACTTGCTGCTGAATTTGCAGTAGAGGAGGACCTCCGGAGGCGACCAACGCACAGGAAACTTGGATCCTGCTGAGCTTGTGTACTCATCATCTAAGACATACCTAAAGCAGTGGTGGAAAAGTATTGTCCGAAATGTATTATCTGAGGATAAACCGCTAAAATAATATACGTCTGAAAAAAGTACAAAAGGAATATCAAATAAAGTTATCAAAGAAACAATACTCATTGTGTTTGTATAGCATGTTACTGTATTTGGTTGAGGTTAAATTAATTTGAACTTCTTTACACAATGTTTTATATTTAAGTTGATAATATTTGTGTATGATATCTTATTATACAAACCAACCAGTCTCTTTAAAATAAATGTAGTGTAGTTGTATCATACAATTACAAAACAGTAACTCTTCAACACTAACCTTTCTAGTAGGCACTAATATGCCTCTGTGTGTCCTTAATTAATGGGAAATGTTTTACCTTGACAGTCCAAAGTCAGTCACTTTGATGGAGCCATTCCCATCCACTAAACAGTTTCTGGCAGCCTGTGGACAAAACAAACAACCATCTTGATCTAAGATTAATCATTTAATCATTAACTGTTATTCACACATACCTAATCCCAGTACATATCAACATAGCATGATGCACTGATCCAGATATGTACAGAGTTATGTGTCGCTCAGTTGTAAATGTATGTCTCTCACCAGGTCTCTGTGGATGTACTGCTGTGACTCCAGATAGGCCATGCCTTCGGAGATGTCTTTACACATCTCCAGGAGCTGCACAGCAGTGGGGTGCTGCATCAGGCCCTCCCTGAGGTACGTCAGCAGGCAGCCATTAGAAAGGAACTCAGTCACTATATAAATGGGTCTTTGTTTGGTGCACACGCCATACAGCTGTACCAGGTTTTCATGCCGTAGCTTCCTGGTTTAATCAAAAGGAGAAGGAAGTTAGGTATTATGTGTTAGTTTTTCTCAAAGTTATAAACACTTCCCAGTGTGACACATCACAACGTTTCATGAGTCTTGTGCACGAAAGCATCACTATTATTTTTAAACACAGACAACTAAACTGTAGCAGCTGAATGACCAAATAAAATAATATAAGCTCCATAATCAGACTTAATTTGCTTACATCATGATTTTGGCTTCTTCTATGAAATCATCTTCAGACATGGAGCCTTCTTTAATCATCTTAATGGCAACGTCATGCTGGCCCTGCCACTTTCCATACTTCACCACTCCAAACTGACCGGAGCCCAGCTCCTTGATGAAGGTGAGGTTATGGGGATCAATCTCCCACACACCTGGAGCAAAAAAGACAAGACTGAAGAGCACTTCTATACAGAAAACTGCTTTTTTAAACGTATGTAAAGGTCTTTGTGGAAGTTTGCGCCCTCCCAGTGTCCTTTTAGTTAACATATTATATCTTTTTAGTTGAGTCTATTCATAAAATGTTGTACTGATTACTCAAACACTATACAACGCATTAGCTTTAGAGGTGCTAGAAGTCCCAAAAGCAAATATATTTTTTGGCCAAAATGTCTGTACTACAGAGAAATTGTGGTTTTTAAATTGCACAGACAAATACAGACATTATGATTAAAAATATGAATTTATAATGATCTCTACAGAGACTGCTTGTTTATGTCATTTGAGGACCTTAAGAAACAATTTAACTTGACTGACAAAGGGGATTTCTGGAAATATCTACAGCTGACGAGCAGCGTTGGTTCGGTATTTGGACGGACAAGGGATGAGGAAGAAGAGGATAAGATTCAAGAGTTTCTAAATTCTCCCCATACTCTACACTCTGCCTCACTATTCTATAGAAAAATGTCACATATTCAAATTAGACTATGTGAAGCCCTGAGAAAGGTATGGCAAAAAGATCTTGGTAGTGAGATTAGGGAGGATCTATCGCAGGATATAGTCTTGAATGTAGGTTGGGCTACAAGGGATACGAGAAGCAAGTTTATCCATTATAAAATTGTGCATAGTTATTATTTTACACCCCTGAAATTGTTTTAAATGGGCTTAACTCAGGACAATAAATGTTGGAAATGTAATAGAGAAATGGGCACATTTCTTCATGCTCTATGAGATTGCCCAAGAGTACTGCCTTTGTGGAAGGTGGTATTAAAAAACCTTGAAGGGTGGCTCAGAAAACCTCTACCAGAATCGCCACAATTCTGTTTGCTGGGGGACACATCTCTTGTGCCACCAGGCCTTACTAAAGCAGAACTTAGACTGACTTTAACAGGTTTTATTGTAGCTGCCAGGCTTATCCTCCGCAACTGGAAGAGCCCACATAAGCCAGAGTTTACAGAATGGCTTAAACTCATGACAGAAACTGCAGCCTTTGAAATTATGATCGCCAGGGTAAATAATGTCCCAAGCAAATCACATCTTCTTGGCCTATATCAAAGGTGCACTGTCCTAGGGAGGGACAGGAAGTATATTTGTATATGTGTACATGTACATGTGTGTGTATATGATGTATTTGTTGTAAATGTGTATCTACATGCTTTACGTTGATGTATATATGAATGTGTGCGCAGGTGTATGTAGGCATGTGTGTGTGAGAGAATAATTGGGGTGCCGGGGGGGGGTGGTAATAAAAATCTTAATAACAAACAAAAAAAATTTCATTTATTCATAATGGCAATTTATATAGTATTCATCTTACCATAGCCAAGTCCTGCTGTTGATGGAGGCAGCGCCCGGTTGGATACAATGTATTTCAGCCTGCTAACCATACCTAGTGAGAGAGATTACAAAATCTGTATGGTACATTTCTGGGATATACAGATTTAGACTGCTTCTATTATGTTTGAAAATGATACAATAGTTTGCAACTGTATAAACCTGCTGCATTGTGCTGGTGGTAGTTGATGAGCTCTGGGATGGTGCTGAAAAAATGCCTCTCTGCCAGGTAGAACTGGCCCTCGGCAGTGGTGCAGATGTTGTAATGTCTGCAGCATCCACCTGTTTCCCTATGAAGAGAAAGAGAAGAGTAACTTAAAGTAGATATAGTCACCATTTATCTTGTGTGCATGATTGGGTAATATCTTGTCAGCCGTCACTATGAGGTAATTCATTATAATAGAGCCATGCCATGAAAAAGTTCAGCAGGCAGATTAGTCCAGGTTTTGCATGAATAATTTACATCTCTCTCCCTCTGTGGCCCACTGTTTCCGCTTTCATTACAAACAGTTCTTCTTTTGATACGTTCACACATGACTGGAGCCAGTGGATACAGTAGCTTATTGCAGCAGAGTTCAACACCACCAGCTGACTCACCCGCCACTCTTAGTGAACAAAGACACGGTGTATTTCCCGGCCTTGCTTGAGTCCCGTACCAGGAAGCCTCCGTCTTTGTTCTGGGACACAACACACAAGCATATAATTTGGTTTCCAATTGAATTCAGTCCAGTTACATTTGACTTTTATCATTGTGTATGTCAGTCATTGACTTTACCTCAGTCTTTAACAGGTTTTCTGCCTGGCTACGATTCATATTCTTGGAATACCAGCTGTGAAAATAAATGTCATTATAATTCGTTTTTCTAAACATTTATAGCTTCACAAATGAAAAATACATTTATGTACAGACGAGGAATCTAACATAATAATGATAAATGAGGAAATTATAATCCAGTGCCCATACTCACTCAAATCTTTCCATCCCATTTTCGGCTTCCACAACATAATTACAAGGTATATATCCTTCTTTTCTGCAGAAGAAAAGAAAACACATTGTGTTTAAAAATAATAAAAACAAGTCTGGAACTGAAGTGCTCACAGATATTAGTACAGTAGCAGCTCATACACAAATTCTTGCTCCTAAAACCCTACATGCAAATCTATATTTGAATATGTTGTTACTGATTATGAAATAAAATATAATGCTGTTATTTTATACGTGTATGGCACAATGGGATGGAGTAACTAGATACATTTATTTGATCAAAACAGTTAAATTGCGTCCATACAAAAACACATAATCTGCATGTTTACTCTTAGTTTCATCTCTTCCTCTTCATTTATTTTACCTATGAACCTCTAAGATCTCTTTAAAGATTTCTCCATTTAGGAGCAAGGAACTTGTGATCACTGTTTGAACATCACTTTAACCACATGTTTCCATAGAAAGTCATTAGACTAATTGTAGACATTTCTTTTGAAAACTCTTGTGTATGTATTATATTTTTCTGGCGAAGTTTTGTGCAGGCCTCTTTGTCCTCACCCATATTTGTCTCTTGCTTTCCACCAGTTCTGATCAGACATCTCCAGGATGGTGTACTCTTCATCCTTCCTCAGCTCCAGGTCTTGGGATGTCACAGGTGTGAAGTTATACTCTGCAATGACAGTCATGCCCACTGAGGGGGAGGGAGTCTCAGGAGGCTGTGGTAATGGTCGTACAGACTTCTCCTGGAAAAACAGAAGATTAGTGGATGTATTAATAACATTCACTGTGTCAAAGTTGATAGACAAAGTTTCCCTCATGATTTTATCTGGTAAAGGTCTTGGCCATTTTGTCTACCTAGAGAATTCATTTGTCTTTGTTGCTGATACTTACATACCTCCTGAAGAATGCACTACAGGAGTGCAACACTGTTTTTGTTCGGTTTAGTTTTCATTCTGTATCATAATGGAATAGGCTAATACAGCAATTTGGTGGGCAACCCTGTGTTGCATCATGAAAATGATCCTTGAATCCTTACATACTAGAATCAGTTAATATTATTTGTGTGTACCTCCGTTGGGGTTGGAGGAAGAGGTTTCCTGGATCCCCTTCGCCGAGATGCATTAGATGAAAAGCCTATTAAAGACATGATTAAATACATGAATTAAACCATTTACACTAAAGTTCAGTTGCTGATTTCAATGCTTTAGGGAATCTCGTCCTCACCGTTCTTACTATCCAGCACTTTGCAGCCCATAGCTTGTTTTACTTCCTGCTTGCAGCACAGCCACACCCCGTCCAACCAGAAACAAGGATGGTACTTCTGCATGACATCCTTGTTGAAGCGCACCACTATGCACAGGTATGGACACACAAGCGGGACATTTACATTAAATCAACACTTCATTTGCATATGCTCCCAGCTCTTTTGTTGTGCAGCCAGTCGTGATGTTAGGATACGGTCTAATATTGCAAATATTGTATGAGATGCTGCAACTGATGGATACATAAACATCAAACTTTGTACATTTCAATACATATACTGACTTTCTTTCAGCTTTTTTATCCACTGAGCCCGAATATCTTCACTTTTAGCAAAAACGTACAGCGGTCCCTCATCATAAATGATCTGTGGAAAAATAAATAAGAAAGTAACTATCAGCTGTTTTTGTAAAAGTTAGAATTTCAAGTCATTTTTTTTATTACTAGCACAGTAGATACATACAAGACCAGTGTCACAAGGGTGAAAAAAGCTTAAGGGAGTTTTATAAATTATTTTGTGTGATCATGTTAACTGCAACTGAAGACAAACTTATTAAACGCTGTTACTTGAATGGCCAGAGCCAGCGAGACATGGCACTCAACTCACCACATACTCAACATTGTGAGTTAACATGTGTGCAAAGGCAACACCTGCACAGTCACTGAAAGCCCCTACTTCATTTGAGTATGAGAGGTGGTTTCACTTCTTAACAATAGACTTTCACATTCTTAACTATTGAAGGATAAAACTGTTTTTTACTGCTTACTGCAGCATGTACGTCGGTTGGACAGTTACTGATAAAAAGGGCAGTCAATTCTTCTTAACAATGTCCTTTATCTCCAAAATCAACACGTAGTGGTAGTTTACACATTGCTGCAGCGTTCTCTGTAACTTTTATGAATGTCATTGGGAAGTTCCTTAAGAGACCCTCTCTGTTGAAGGAGTAAATTGACAGAAATGTCTACCTGGAAAGCAAACAGGCGCTCTTGCGGTGTATTGGGCTCTGATTGGACCGTCTCTACACACTTGATCTTCTCGAGGTCCACTGATCCTTTCATACCTTTTCGCTTCTGCTTAACAGAGGAGGCGACAGTCAAGTAACTCAGATGTAAATGCACAGTTACCAACAAACATTAACCTGAGACAGATTTGATGCAATACTAATCATGTTTTTCTGTAGTTCCATATACGTACCCCTTTGTCAGAATCAAAATCATAGTAGACTACTTTCTCCTGGTTGAGAACAAACAATCTCTCCTTGTAGTTCAGAGGCGATGTCTTCTTCTTCTGCTGGGATCGTTTAATGAAGATTTCTTCCAGTATGGTCTCTGACATGATTCAGCCAGGATTAATCTACATGGGAACAAGGAGGTGAATACTTTTGCGAAGCGTAACGGCAGTACAACACTTGGCTTTTTTCTTTTTCTTTGTGGCACTGAAGAGCTTGCACACCGCCTGAGCCAGTAACCTCTTGTCAGACAGCTGTGACATACACACACACACACACACACACACACACACACACACACACACACACACACACACACACACACACACACACACACACACACACACACACACACACACGCACGCACACCCCTTATCTCTGTGCTTAGCTTACCACTATATGAGGCAACCTTTTGGGTTAAGTTGCACTTCACTCTTATTGGTTTATTTCACCAGAATCGTACTCAATATGCGCCCCCTACATTAATAGATTCAGAGCAATGCCACAGTATCAGGTGAGAACATATAGATCTGGCACAAGATGAGGAGACATGCAGCATGAATGCGAGCACATATCAGCGTGTGATTAGCTCTAGTTTGCATAAGCCCTGATTTTCCTGCCAGCTACATCCTTTTCACTCCAACATTCCCACCGTGTCACACCTATTTACCTAAGCTACTGTTTTGTGTTCATCATCACACAAACTCAGTGACCTGGTGTTTTTGTGCTGGGAAACGGTGAAAGGAGAATTTGCCTTGTCCACCAAATCCCTTGCCTACTATATCTCCTTAACATGACTGGTTGGCATTTTTCTGTAACTGTTTAGACTTCCTAAATTGTTGTGATATAGTCACAATGAATTGCATTTCAATGTTTTGGGTGATTGATTTGAATGTAACATACATTTAAAATGCTTGATAGGGAAACTTTGCTCTCTTTAAATGCAGACACAAATACACAGACATATATACGACCACTTTTTTTTTTCCTGGTTGGTTTTGAATTCTTATTTTAGGATCCAGCGACCCAGTTGTTAACGCGGTAACTTCTTTTTGTTTGCTTGTTGTCAAAAACAACATATTTTGAAATGAATTTACTTGCAACTCATCATAAAAGAGGTCAAACAATTTCACAAGACTATCTTCCTTGCTTATCTTCAAAACTACATTTTTCCTGCATCATAGCTGTGACTCGTTTTAGTTTAAGACATCTTATACTTTGTCTTGTTCTCAGAACCTCATGACCACTAGTGCTGAACCGAAACTTGCACCTCTATGCCACCTTATCTAAATTAGATTGACGTGGGTCAGAGAAAAAAACAAACAATATTAGTTGAGGAATGAGGATAAAGGAGACTTTGTGAAAGCACTCAAACATGGCCTCATTCCAATATATGCTCTGAATACTTAATGTTTGGAAAAACAAGGTAACAATATTAAAAACACTATCACTGTAAATTAGTGTTAAACTAACTGGCAGTACTGCAAGAAAAGGACCACACATCCTAGTAAGAAGTTCCATGAGATAATTAATAGTTTATCCCAATGTATGGGTCAATAGATATACTAGTCGTGTTATCACTTACAGACCCAGTAACGTCATCTTTAGTTGTAACCAATGCTGCTGAACTAAAATCAACCAAAAAGCAATTCTCATAGTTGTATGTCATTCAGCAAACACTGTCTAAAGATTATTCTAAAATACTACAAGAAAACACAGTGCACTACAGGTAGGAAGTTATATTGCCAGGTGAAACAAGGATCAACTGCTCAACTCACCCTTTGGCACACAGCTGAAGACTAATTGTGTGATAGTGTTTGTCAGAAGTGTTTTCACTGCAGCTCAGCCTATTTTCAGCATGTGAGCACTTCCTTCTATCATCTGAACTGTAACTCTAACACCACCCGAAGCTTCTGTCCCTCCCAGCTAACCAGGACAGTGACATTTATTTACACCAGACTGACGATACCTATTGGTTTTGGTTGTGCCGTCATAAACAGACGGCCGTGTTCCCTATTCTGTGAAACATTGTTTACTCATTCCTCATTCTGCAGTGCCTAATGTTTTTTCATATCACTAACTTCATTATAGAGGTCAACAAACTCTGATGTAAGATGATCAACATGCTAATGTATTTATTTCTCTCTGATTGACTGAACATGTACATTTACATTTCACTGTAACATGGCAACCAGATATTTGTTGTCCCTTTTGAAGGGAGTTGACGCATGGTGGCTGACACAGATGAACCGATAGGGAAGTTGCATCAATGTTGTACTGCAATATATAGCAAGAAGAAACCCGGTGTTCTGCAGCACTTAAACCTGACATTATCTTTATCATTTTAATTCACATATTTGAAATGTATGTTGCATACATGTGTGTAACCCTGTTTTTTGATTTCTCCTCTGTTTCTACACATCTAACTTACACTCACCCATTGTAAAAAATACTTTGTAATGCTTGTTTATGTCAATTGCTAGTATATTCTTTGTTGTTGGGAAATGATATGTATCCATTTGACTCTATCTGCAATTGGACTCAAAATGCTCTTGTTATTGTACACACAGCAACTTTCGCTTCATTTAAAAGTCAAGAATAGCCAAAATGTACCCTCAAACGCTTTAATCAGCAAAAAAAAAAGAATCATCTAATCGAGGGATATATTTTTATATATTTGTACCCTTACTTACTTGGGTGGCTGTCAGAGTTATGATCTTTGTAACCCGCAAATATTGTAGTGCAACATGTTCCAAACTAAAAAGGCCCAAATTAAATATGTTCAATGCATTTTTGTTGCATGATGTATGACACAGCAAAAACAACCACATCATAAAAGGCTTGGTTTAACAGGAACCTGTTAAGATGCTCTCTTTCCTGACGTTTCCTGACAGATAAGTGATATGTGCAAAGAATGTGTGTGTATGTGAGTTTGTAAGTGTATACAAGAGAGAAAAAGAGAGTGACAAACATGTTCAGTACAAGTTTTAAGAGTTGAACCTAATCTTGAAGCATATACTCTCTCACACATATAAAGGAACCACATCAATTTAACATTGTGGTGTTCTGTGTTGGCCAAATACTTAGTTTAGAATTAGCATTTCTTCTAATGCACTTCAATAAAGTTCATTTTAGGGAAGATTATTCAATTCAATGTGGTCAGTGATTGACAACATACAAGACATATTTCATGCGTATTATAAAGGTAACCACATGAAACTACTATCTGATTATAACCCTACCAATCATCTAAACCAATGTAGGGCTGCAAGATGCGGCTTTCCAGAGGTTTAAAAATCATGCAAAGATCTGTAGAATACACCAGAACCTCGTCGGTATAACATTAGGAGTACAACATCTTTGCATTTCAGCAGATTATGTCACTATGGTTTGATATATGTATTTCTAGTTTTGTGGTTTATTCACACCGCATTTAGGATTTGCATACAAACTGAAAGTTGATACCTTTCAATGTAATTAAGGTATAAGTCTGAATTATACTTGTTACTATACTTTTGTTCATTCTTTGAAATGACATGCATTGAAATAGCTGCTTTATCATTGATAATACAGTGAAACAATAGGTTAAATTACTTATTGACCATACAGTCTACATTAAAAGAGCTTTGACACTTACCTAGAGACTCAAAAAAGTCAAGCATCAGAAAAACAGCTACAGATGCTTAGGTTTGAAGCGGTGAAATGAACTTTTGCATCAGTCGCCTTCCATAAAATGTGTTTTAGTCTGTGATGCAAGAAGCCTTAAACCTACCCACAGAGAGGAATTGACTCTGCTAACTTCCCCTTTTTCTTCCTGCTCATTTTCATATCAGCCGTTTGGACCGTTTTTGTGATAAGTGCAAGCTGGATAAACATTAACACTGACCCATATGTGCGTAAAGCAAATTATTAAACTTCTTTTCACCTATATTAAATGAGATGTTGTAATTAAGTACACTGCAAGTTTGGGTATTGCAAGGAGGCTATAAACAACATTGTGACTTACAACTTTTGCCTTCATTAGCTCATTGTGTTCTGCAAAGACTACATTATTTACTCCAAGAATGTATTAAAGTGTTAAAGCCGTTTTGTTTCTGGTTTGTTGGTGTGGAGTTGTGGTCCTCCTGACATGCCCCGCCGCTAGGGAGCAGTGTGCGGCCCGCGGAGAGAGGGGAGGAGGGGGTGTGGGGTCACCGCTCCGCACTACATTAAGAGGTGCTTCCGGCCTCTATCTCTCTCTCTTCCTCTGCATCGGGACGCAGCCATGGTAAGAAACTATTCCACGGATGCATTTTACAGAATCTAACTCAATCTTGCCGATTGAACAATATTTCTCGTTTGTAGTTTACCCACATCTGTTAACAATAGTCTGATACACACAACCATGGTAGTATTTGTCACATTGTTTACATTTTAGGCTGTTAGAATTGTCATTAAAGTAAGCTAGCTATGTACGTGGTAAAACGCTGTTGCTACACTACTACTAAAACCGGCCTTTCTTCTTCACTGAGAAGCTAATGTTACATGTCAGTCTTAATAGCAAATGGCAAACACTAGCATGTTCACTTTTATATTATTGCACCGTCCCATGTTAACGCAAATATTTCGTTCTTAATTCACGTTGAATAGCTACAATGCTAACATGTTAAGCTCGCTAGCTAACGTCACCTGCGTTTACACTGACCGGGCGCCAACTGCTAAATGCTAAACACGAGCTTTATGTCTGCGAATGTGAATTTCCTGAATGTGTTTTAGCTTGACCCGAAAGCTTTATTTTAACTTTTATAAGATCCTGGGGTACTCTGTTTAGCCATTTAATATTAGTGATAGGTATTTAAAGCAATGCCATTTGTTTGCATAGCTTAGTGTCATCCATTTAGTGTCCTATACCAAATTGACATTCACTGGTTTTCGTTTGTCAATCTTCCAAATGGAATTATTGGTTGCAATATATATGGACATCATTCAGGGTATATTTTGTTTGCTACCAGGGTTATTACAAATGTGTTGACTGTTTATTTTGTGTCGTCCAGGTCAACGTCCCGAAGACCCGCAGGACCTACTGCAAAAAGTGCAAGAAGCACCAGCCTCACAAAGTTACCCAGTACAAGAAGGGAAAGGATTCCCTTTACGCACAGGGTAAATTATGCTTTATGTTATATATTTTTTTCTTTACAAATGGCGTCCACCATATTGGATAAATCATCCGATGGGATGCATAAAAAAACAATGTCATGTGAAATGAAAAATAACATGAGCTAGTCAAAAAATAACTTCAGAGCTAGTCAGAAAATACTTCAATGGCATATGTTATTTGGCATCACATGTCCAAATGATTCTTAGAACTGAGATCATATCTGCAGAGATATAAGGGTCCACTTTATGTTTTTAATTTGAACCCTTGCCTGTTATTTTATGTATAGTTTAATCATTTTCATATATCTGTATGGTGAATGAGTTGTCATGAGAGAAAGCCTAACTGTATTTATGTTTTGCAGGTAAGAGGAGATACGACAGAAAGCAATCCGGTTATGGTGGACAGACCAAGCCCATCTTCCGCAAAAAGGTATGTATTGTGCTCTTTAGGTCTGTCATGTTCTGCACCCCTGTGTGTGTGAATAAGTCTCAATGAATGATCATGTCTTTTCAGGCCAAGACTACAAAGAAGATTGTGTTGAGGCTTGAATGCGTCGAGCCCAACTGCAGATCCAAGAGGATGCTCGCCATCAAGAGATGCAAGCACTTTGAGTTGGGTGGTGACAAGAAGAGAAAGGTAAGCATTCTTGCATTGCACAGTCATTTATTGGTACTTTTCAGAGGGATTCAATGCTTTCTGAATGGAACAGTTACTTGATGTGAAGGTCAACTTTATACAGCGCAACCTAAAATGTACTAAGTCCTCTGTGGCTGATGAGCTCTACCTGTTTCTATGTGATAGTCTCACCTTTTGTTCAACAATTTACCTCAATATTTGACATCTTGAGTTGTTAAAATATCCTGCCCACATGACGCTAGGTATCATGTGGCTTAGAAAAAGCACATTTTTATTAAACTTGATTTGGCAGCTACTAAACGACCCAGATATTACATCTGTTAGATCGTTTATAAGGCTGAACTCGGCTACAAATAATGAATGTAAACATAAAAGGCACTTGTACGAAAAGCAGTGAATAACACATGCCAAATGCAGTTGGAGAGTTCACACCATAACATGCACTATAACGTGAAAATCCACTGCTGGCTTGCCCCTGAACTATTTGACAGGTATTCTGTTTGTAATAAGTCATGTTGTGTACACCTTCTCCATACTGAGTAGTCGGTGATTATTGGTCAATTTGCACAACTTTTTGTGTATAATTGTTTGGCATTTTACATGAAGTAACTACTTAGTTAACTTAGAAAAACTGATGCGTTCGCTGTAATATTGAGATAATTCCTCAGATTGGTTTCACCCTTTTCTGTTATCCCCTAAAGTCAGAACATTATATTTTATTCCAGACTTAAAAGTGAACCACATCAATTAAACGTTTGTTCTATGCTGCTTGAGCATAATTTTAACCAACATCTTTGTTCTTCTCTTACAGGGCCAGGTCATCCAGTTTTAAACGGTTGGCTCGTCTGCTGGAGGAAATTGTCACTATTTTCAATAAATGTATGGAAACATAATTTGGAGTTTTGCCTTTTCCTTTGCATCCGTTTCACTTTGCTTCTGTTTCACTTTGCTTCTGTTTCACTTTGCTTATCATGTGATGCAAGTCCATTGATGTCTTGGGTATTAGCTTTATACAGATGTGCAGGGGTGACTTTCTTGTTGCCAGAACCCAAACTAAACATTGCACTGGTTGCTTAGACAAAAAGCCAATGGCATTGTTCCTTTTTTTGGCCTCCAAACCCACAAATGTTTTAGTCAGTCTTCAAAAATATGCCACTTAAATAATGTAAGAGGAAGCTGGAAGTAAAAGGCTAACCTTGGACAACTGGACTAGTGTTAAGCATGGTGATGTTTAGGTGTCTTGTTACAGACTACTTGTCTAATATGCTTCAAGATTTAGGAGCATAGACTACATAAAAAGAGGTGTGTTCTGTTGAGGGACAGAATGTTAAACCACCACTGCTATTTCAGTCATTAACCAAAAAATACATTTACTTGTCATTGAGAAAGGTGGGCTAAAATGCTAACTAAATTTAGGGTTGAAGGACTCATTCCTGCACTTGCAGCCATTCAGGGTAATTCACAGTATAGGCTCGTCTCAATACCCCTTGACTCCTCGCTTCCCCCCCGGGACTTGACCCAGAAATCGATCAAGACATGCCATGTTGAAGGACGTCCCAATAGCTGAAATGCACACGGGGTGAGGGAGGAGACGAAAGGGAGGATACACAGAGCAGACTAAGCGGAAGTGTTTTCACTATCGTATAAAAGCCCCACCCCACCTTCACAGCTGGTCGATTTCAACACAGGAAAACTGAGAATTGGAAGAATGAGTGGAAAAGCGTCACATAAATGTATAAGTGCTCACAGCTCCGTGGGAATTAGTGTGCAATTAATTTCTTACGGTTATACATATATATATATATATATATATATACACAGTCTATGGGTTATACTAACAATTTAAGTCATGTTTAATGATCTTGAACGTCACTAAAACATAGCTAAGAAAGCTATTTCATAAATGGCTAAATCTTGATAAATAACAATTATTTTTTAGTTGTGTTAAAATATTCAGTTGCATTATTTAAAATACAGTCCTGAATGTGGGGATCTACAGGACACACATTTTCAGAGTAAAGGCTTTCACATTATTATTTTATTGAAATGTACATTTTACACCAGAACACAAAAGCAGGACCAACCATCATACAATGAATTCCTGGACTAACGAGAAAGATTAATTTAAATAAATATTTACAAACAAATGGGCTGGTTCTAAGGGGTTATTCAGTTAAACCCGATGAGAGAGGATACAGCTGTGCACATGTCATTAACAGAGACGTTTGAGTGAACGAGGACGTCCCAATTAATACCTGAGGACTCCTCTGTCCTCGCGTCTCTTCCTCGCTCGCATCTTACAGAGGCGGAGCTAAGACGCAAGGAAGGGACACGAGTGAGGGAAAGGAGGTGAAATATTAAATTGAGACGAGCCTTAAGTGTTCAAAATCTTTCCAGTGATTCAAGAGTGAAGTGTAATGTAATAGCAGGCTGATATAAGATGTTCCTGTCAAATGTAGACTTCAATCTTTATTACAAAAATACTCAAACGATGAACAGATTTTTACCCCAGACAATCAAGTGAAAGCAGATGAAGTGCATAAACACCAGGTTTACAGGATAAGTCCAGCCTAGTCGCTGGTGGGAGTGACAGACAGTAGAGTGGTGCCTGAGGGGTTAACGGATACAACCAATTTGGTATGTGGCGTCTGAACACCCAGGTCCTTGTACTGAGGGAGGATCTGTGTGACGTTACACTGGGGGTCACAGATCTTCCAGCCAGGAGCCGCTCTGATGAAAAACCCCCGAGGACCGCCGATCTCCTGAGTGTTCAGCACAGCGATGGCCAGCCGCTTCTTGGACAGAGGCCTCTCCCACACCTCGAAACTGTCCACCTGTGTCAAACAAGTTATTTAGATAATGGCTAATGCTCCACACAGCTGTTATTCCAGAAAGTGATAATGCTCTGTCACCCCTCACCCACCTTGATAGTGCATAGTCCTTGCTTGCCCAGCGGGTCCTGGCTGATGGCGATGATGTCTGTGTTCTGAAGAAGCTTCTTGGAGCGAGGGCAGATGTCCCTCAGATCATTAGACACGAGCAGAGGGGCGGCCATGATGGCCCATAATGCCATCTGAGACTCCTGCTGGTCATGACTGAGGCCAAAGTTCCCAATCACGAGCTAGAGGAATAAACCATACATGTGACAATAACAGGGCCATTTCGGATAACAGACAATATGCAGTACTACAACCTACTATTGAGAAAAGTGGCCATAAAAAAAAGTACCATAAATTCAGTTGTACTGTTTTATGAGAGTGAATATTCCTACAGTTACAGAAGCTCTGGCAATAAATCTATAAAAGGATGTAAAAACAAATGCAACATGCGTATGATACAACTTTTATACGTTTTCTCAGATATAATAGCCAGCTGTTGCAGAGGTGTAGTATCAAACTTCTCATATATCTGTTCAAGAAAGCAAATAAGCGAAATAAAAAAAAATTCTAACTATTTCTTAAAGTGCCAGTGGACCTCCGGATACAAATCTGTCTTCAAAAAATACCAAGTGGTAAACTACATTTTTAAATTGATAATAAAGCAGCTTAGTACTTGAAGGCCACTGGTTGTAGCTTATTTTGAAGTCAAACTTGAGCTTGAGCAGAGCACCATATCGGGGTCGTTCCAGCCCCCGGGCCCGGCCGAGGGGACGATGATATCCTGATGAGAAGCAGTCCAGTCCAAGATGGACTTGATGGAGCTCCATGAGTCGTACACGTCAGCAAAGTTGCGCCAGTGGTTACACGTCTCACGGATGGCTTTGTAGTCAGGCTGGAGGCACAGAGAGGCTCTTTGATGTCGTACCATGCATGGTGTCATCAAGCAGTGGATAGTCATATAGAGTTATATATATTATAGTTAGTGGGTAAAGTTTATGAAGAAAAACAAATCCATAATGTATGATAAAAACGTTATAATATTTTAGTTAATCGACCAATATTTGTCTCAATTAATTGTGAATTGATTAAGTCAAGAACGTCAAACATGATACATTGATGTTATTTTAATCTATAAGCACTTTGATTGTAGCCTAATTTAAAGTTGTTGAAAGAAAATACAACTTCTCTCTTACCTGTTTGTAAGGCCACTCATACAAAGGCCACTCACAGGAGTAGAGGATGCTTCTTCCTGTTTTGTTCAGTGCTCTTGACATGTTCATGTAGCCTTCAACAGAAAAATAAATCATAAACGGTAAGATTAGGGCACATAATGATGTGTCTTGTGAGTCCATGGATGTTCTGAGTAATGGACCCAGAACATTAATGAAGAAGTAATACAATTCTGTATACCATCTTTTTGAATTACATTTTTACATAGCACTTTTCCGGGACTACTTTTTGGCTTATTTGGGGACCGGCCTTTCCCTGTTCATATAACTATGAATTATATTACACAATAGAAAGCTCACCTTCTCCCAGCAACTTCCAGTCCATGTAGCATCCGTCAAATTTGAGCAGATCCACATCCCAGTCGGCAAAAGTCTGAGCGTCGGTCTCATAGTACCCCAAACTGCCAGGGTATCCAGCACAGGTATTCTTCCCAACATCTGCATAGATACCCAGCTTCAAACCTTTAGAATGAACCTGAAAAGAGAAAATTACACTTCAGTATTGACCAGTAGGTGGCGATGTTGCATAGCTAAAAACATGACGCCTCTGTTCCAAATCAGCTCTGCTCTAATAATAGTAGGACCAAATACTGTATTGTATTTCTGGTGATTATTGCTTTTTGACTGCCTGTGTGAAAATCCACCTGTCATAGTGGCCTCCAACTCAAGAGAGAAGTGTTTTTTAGCAAAGAGGGGTAACGACAGTGTACTGCTACATATTACAATATATGCCTACGTTATCTCCCCTAGCTCTCCAGGTGCTGATTTTCTGCCAGTGTGAAATCTGAGACATGGGTTCTACATCTGGTCCTTACCCCTTCATTATGTAAATACCTGCAGGTTGGCTCAGATGGATGTATAATGAATATGTAATCTGACTGTGTAACCACTTTTACTTCGAGAGTTGTTGAACCAGGGATTCCCAAACCTGTTATTTGTCAAATATTTTAAAACTTAAGACGCATTGCACCACAGATTTGTTAACACTGCACTCAATGGAACAGAATATATCGGCACAGTGTTAAATATGACATGCTTTACCTTCATATACCCCAAGACTGGAAACTATAATATAAGCAGCCATATCCCAGTGCATACTCTCATTTGGATTCTTCCAGCTATTGAAACAAGTATATCTGAACCTCCTATCTTTGAGGTCCGTCGAGGAATCATAGCATTAATAATAATTAAATCCCAGTGCCTCTTTTGTACGTAGTACTCACATAGTCGGCCAGTTTCTTGATGCCCCCAGGGAATCTCTTGGGGTCTGCCTGCAGGCAGCCCTTGGCATCCCGCTGGTGGGAGGGCCAGCAGTCATCGATGCAGACGTACTCGTAACCAGCCTCTTTCCATCCCTCCTTCACCATCACATCTGCCATCTGCATGTACAGGCGCTCACTGCCAGGGAAACAGGAGGAGAAAGGCGGGGCTGATAGTATCAGTTCAGATTCAGGGGTTCAATGTCATGTGCCAGGGCAATATGGCAGACACAAATGCACGCTATTCGCATGAAAACAAATGCCAGTTTTTCTGTGTTTCATTGTCAAATGATATAGGGCAATAACAATATATGCAACAGGCTGATATTTGCTGCTCTGAATGCTTTGATGGCTAGCTCTGCCTGGGAGAAAAAACGATGTTCTCTGTGCATAGGAAGTGTTTTTTTTGCAGGTAATCAACATAGAGATCCCAAAAATAAAGGATCTTGTATTCGTTCTGAAGCATTCACAATAAAAGACACTTTACTAACTCATAGCTGCAAATGATCAGTCCTTTGTAAGAAAGTATATTTGAACCTTTTTGATGATAAATAGTTTATTTTTAAGCAAAAATGCCAACCATTTGCTCGTTCCAGTTTCTCATATTTGAGGATTTGCTGCTTTTCTTTGTCACGTATGATAGTATATAGATGGATCTGGATATGCCACTTTAGGCTCTGAAAACATGTGATTTTTTCTGCTTCTTGGTAGACTGAATTTTGTATTAGTTAATCAAGAAAAAGTAATCAGCAGATGAATACATAATGGGAACAATCATTAGTTGTAGCCCTAATTATGAATGATCATCTTATAATGATGAGAAGAGATTAGACCTGTAGGATAACCTGAATCTGAATTGTGCTTAACCGGAGCCTTTCCAATGAGTTAAGATGACTATAATAATAATAATATAGTCTTGATTCAGTTAGTTAACACAAAGTTTTCCGTTTTTATTATATTTTAATTGTCATAATTCTTCAAGCAATTTGCTTTTTTTAAATGTATATAGTAAATTGAATATCATTGGGTTTTGGTACAAAGTCAAACCAAGCATGACTTTTGAGGACGTCACCTTGGATTTTAAGAAATAATGATGGGCAACAATTAATTGATTAATGGAGAACACTTAAAAAAAAATATATTTAATTTCAGCACTATGTAATTACTCTTCATCTGTGTTTTTCTTCTTTATCTTTTTTTTTCCATTGACCCTGTTCATCCCTGTGTATTACCATATTACCTTACAGATTTATTGTTTTACTTCACTGGAATGTGTGCAGACTTTTATAATTCATGTTCATAAAGCACTTTTAGTTTATTACATTTCACATGACACCGCGATCATCATCGTTGTTCAACCAAATAACAAATAAAGGCAAATTAAATCACATGGTATATTCTTGCTGTCTTATCTAATTTCTTTCTATGCCCTTTAACTATCACGGGTCTCTTTTCTCATTAACTATCCATCTGAGACATCTTCTCAATTATGAAGTAAAGATCCTATAATTACAAGATGTGTGTCATAAATATGAAATATTGACTGCATGGGAAATAACGACCATGTTACGAGTTTGTTGTAATAAATCATAATGGCAAAAACGTTTTTTCTTATGTATAACCTGGAGGCTTCTTTTCAATTTTGTTTGATTTCTCCATAGATTTGATTGTTTAGTTCATATATTCACTTCCTGTACACAATGGCTTTAGATCCCCCTTGTGTCGTTTATAACAGTGAATGCATTCAGGAGTTTCCCATATATTCCCATAAATTACACTATTTCTATTGTATTTGTATTTACTGGCAAATATCAAAACATTCTCTTGCACTATTTTATCTGTTTTATTTGTTCTATGTCATATATGTTGCACTGTTGGAGGAGCCTGTGACCTAAGTTTTTCACAGCCATATCTACACTGTAGCTAATGTGCAAATGACAATAAAGCCTTGAATCTTGAAAAAATTGATTAATTGAATAACTATGTGGTGTTAAAACAGTAATTTAATAAAGATATCTTAAGGATAAACTGAAGTAATGCCATAACATAAGACCATGTTAGTAGGACGTGAGTAACGTTGATATGACAGCTCTCCTTGTGTTTTAGCTCACTCTCATGCAGGCTGTGATGGACCCTCTGATGTCTCTTACCTGATGCAGTTATTGGGGTCTTTGTCACAGTCGGTATTGCACATGAATCTCTCCCAGTGCAGCCAGCCCATGGTGGGTTTCAGCGCCAGCCCATTGTCCAACGCCTCCGCAGCTGGGCACACTAACACGGTGAGAGCAAGGAGAAACACGGCTCTGCACATTTTGACTCAGAAACTCGACAACTTTCGGTCAACAATGACAATAAACGGCTGTTTGAATTCCATTTCCTCGTGTTAAACGTATAAAGCCCGCCCTCTTGATGACTGACGTAAATCTGGACCAATAGAATCCAAATGCGTGTGTAACTGTCCAATAGCGCTTCACTACAAACCAGGAAGCGCAAAGGTGAAAACAATGAAGTCAGCTGACATGACAAGATAAACATGTATTGTGATTATCTGAATAAGAAAATATGAAAAATCGATGTTAAAGCCCATTTATACAACACTCAATGTCTGTAGTGAGAAAATAAACATAAAAGGATTCCATAACAGGATCCACCTGTTATAGGGCCCTAATGCAAAAATAAGTAAGCCTAGCCTCTGTGTAAATGTTTGCTTTGCATGTAGGCAGAGCTGAACTAAATGTGTTTTAAGAGTTGCATCTTTCATGCTTTGACTGTTGTCATCACAGAGACTTTGGGAAGTTGCTGCAAACACTTATACAAACAGTCTATAAATAACCCTCCTAAAAACCACCACTTGTTGTTATTCATACACTTCGGATTTTTTTTTGTACGAAACAAACAAACTAGATATTAGATGACCCTAAATAGTGAGATTTAGAGGTGCTGATGGTAGATGTTGACACACGTTGACAGAGATATGTAAAGCTAACCACCCGCTGGCTACATCTTTATATTTTATGCACAAACATGAGAGTGGTATCGATCATTTCATATAACTGTCAGTAGAAAAATATTCCTTTAACCCAATGTGGCCCTTAGGGCAAAAAGGACCTTCTGGGCCCCTACATCCTTACCCTCGTGTTATGAGTACAGTATTCCCATGCCGGACTATGAAGAGGCCCAAGGCCCCAAATTTGAGACTTTCATTAAACACAAATAAATGTCAGAGAAACAGTCATGTAAGCTAAAAATAATCAAGGTCTTAAATCAAACAATTCAAACATATATTGCTACTCAATTCTAGATACTTCTTCAACACAGATAAACACATAATATAAAATGTCCATAGTAATCCATTAGATTATTTAAAAAATGTAGTTAACACATTTAGGTAGACAGTTTTGCCTTGACAAGCCAATTAACTACACATAAACCTGTGGCTTTTAGTGGCCTCTGGAGTTTCGGGGCCCTATAGCAATTACCTTCTTTGCCTTATTGAGATCCATAGATAAAAAGATCAATAGTGTCATTATATTGTTTTGTTTTTTCATTAGGGCAACTAACGGTAATTTTAGGGCATGGACCCCCATTTTGTTTAAAAAATAGTCAGGTTTTCATGCAAGATCTGTTAAAAACCAGACAATCTGCTGGATATCTAATCGTATCCGCTTTCCAACATCCACAAAGAATGAAAGAAAATTGCCCAATTTACCCCACTGTTCCCTGAGGAGCATGGCTAATCAAAAAAGCCACACACACTATCAGCAATAATGTAGGACCATGTACATATTGATGCCGCTTCCAGCTGTTTATTAGCTTCGGATCCAAGACACCAATTTGTCTTGTGCAGACGTTAAATGAATCACAGATAGGTCTCTTAATTTAGCTGTAAACGAACACCGTGCTTTAAAACAAATCAGTCCTGGATGTTTGGTGAAATTGTTAGCAATCTGCTCACACACGCAGAGAGAGTAATGAGTTTCGTATTTATTGTTATACTTTGCCATTTTGTTGGAATTTAAGGAGACAGTGCATATTATACATTTGCTAATTAAATCAGCTATTTGAATTTTTTCACAGAAGAACAAAGGAGGTGAAACTTTACAGAGGTGACACTATTTTGATCAGCAGACGGCCTCAGTGAAACCTCCCTCTGTGATCTTGCTCCTGACAGTCTGTCATTGCTGTGCATGACTCCCTGTGTCCTGATATTGAGAGTCAAAACAAATGAGGCGGCCTTCATGACATGGCACACATCCAGATCATGACAATAATCCTCATCCCCACTGCTGGCTGTATGTAAAAAGCCAGCATAAATGAACACAAAACCTGACCTTTCAGCGAAATGTCAAGGGTGCCTATTTCAACCCTTACATTATCAGAGGCTTCACCCAGGGACAGGCCTGATACAAACAATTTGTCACTTGCTATAGTTCATATCAGTGCCAGCGAGCAAAGGCGTTGGGGCTCTAAATGTCAGATTTCAATTTGACTCCCCCCCTCCACCTGCTGATGGATGGACCAATCCAGCTATCTTGAATACACAGTTTTCTTTTTGTAAAAATGGGGTCTCGCCCACCGTCGTGACAGAGACCCTTGTTGTTTAAAGAGCAGCATGTCTCTGTCTGTGCAGTGGTTAATTGAGATTGTTGACAGATGGGCGGCCTGAGTTTTCTGGCTGGCTTATGGCTCCCTACAGCTTTGACACCGATCCATCATGTGCCTTTCTTCACCAGTGTCACATAATTGAAGAGGCTGTCATGGCTGACTTATGCTGGTTACTTTGTTATGAAGTGTATGGGGATAAAATTAAAGGGAAAGCTGTCGGAGCTACGTTACTGTATTGATCTATAGGGATAGGTGGCAGCACGAGTCACCAGAAAGTTTAGCCTCCATTAATACAACGCTGTCTCACATCAGTGGAAAAACATGTATTTGCTTGTAATTAGCGGCTTAAGTTGTTTATGTGCTGATGCTGCTACTTTAATTAGGTCCTTGTTGAACTGAGAGACCGAGGAAAGGATTTTGGTAATAAGCTCATAATATGACCCGTAAATTACTTTGTTAATTGGTGTTTTGTTTTAATGCAGTTGAATCTACGCATTAAGCATGTGTGTATAGTTCAAGTAATGAGTTTCAGAGTTTCTTTACGTTTTCTGATTTTATGATCTCAGCAGTTGATTTGTAAAAGGTTTCATTTGACAATTTATTACTACATCTTTGACATCTGCAAATGCATTTTTGACTGGACATAATTAAAATGTGATCAGTCAGATATACGGAAATGGTGTGCGATTACAATCTGACTTGAAAAAAATATAGCCTATATGTAATCGGTTTAAAGATATTGTAAGACTATTTTGTAATTCATTGTCACATAGGTCACATATACATTTGTCTATCTTTATTTTCGGTTAATCATGTCTTTATTTGACAGTGGACAGTCAAAAGGTGACACGCTCGACCACCAGACGGCCACATATAATAATCATTATGTTTTAAAGAAAACAGGTCAAACTATTTGTTGTGTAAAACCAATAAAGTGTAGAAAAAAGAATAAGAAACAGAGATATATAATTTGATGTAGTCAATTTTCTTATTGCACGATATCTCTAATTACATTGTAACTAGTACGAATGGATCATTAGGGTAAACTGAACTGTAGATATTTTTCCTTAGATGCTCAATGGTTCATTCCTCATTGTCAAAATGTAATTATAAAGTCATAAATGTATTGTGCGTAGTGAATACCCTCAATCTTTAATACACTGTGGGAAGGAATGTCTTTGAGTATTAGTAAAGTCTTCACTAATTTACTATTCCCTTTTCCAGCATCCTCTAGATGCTCACAGCTGGGAAGCATGTAGTACAAAGATAGATTCTCAGTTGTGAATTAGATGAAATCCCTCGTCTCACAGAAGGGGTCCACAGTGTGTGCTCTAATAACTGTGTTCATGTTGCAGTAGCTGCATATCCTGTATTCCATCACATACAGATGTTAAGTAGAGGGCTGACATGCTTTTTATTATTAAAACATATTTAACAAGCTTATTTGAGGTTCTTCATTTTCTCTCCTTATAGAGATGCTCTGTCTGTCTCTGGGGAAACATTTGACATTACATTTGACACATAAAAAGGCAGGGAGTTACTTTCAAATATTTCATATATCAGGAGAGACTTCATTTTGTTTAAAGAACATTTGTTGACCATGTCATATGATAAATGTTAAGTCTTTTGGCGATTAGACCCCGATCCTGAAATCGTATATATCTAAAGGGGGAAATGCAGCCGTGAGCATATAGGGAACCCCCCCGGGGTCTAGACACTGGTGATGATGCTGAAGATCTGGATTTGATGAAGAGATGGGATGAGGAGGAGGTGTGATGAGGTCTTTGGATTAACTCTCCTGGCACTGGATATGATGAAAGGAGGTGGATGGGGAGGAGGCGGGTGGCAGCATGACAACCTGAAATCACAGCTGACTGCAGGAGAGAGGAGAACCATTTTAAAGTTTGGCTGCAGCACAGTGATTGGCTGCTGGAGAATGAGGTGAATGTAATAGGTTATAGACAACGCCCGTGATGAGCTGATTATATGCAGCTGCGGAGTGACTGTATATACCCAGTCTTCCTGAAAGAACTTGCGCTGAGCTTCATATGAATTGTCATCACTTTATATTCTGCTACTGTGCAGCTCCCTTGCAGATATTTACAGCCGAATAACTACGAGTAGGTATATTTTATCAATAAACCTTCATAATAAATATTTCAGCAAATACATTATTCACTGCCTCATAGCTGAAGGGTTAAATCAAAAGAAGCACCTATGTTGCTCCTGTTTGTTCTTTATAAAATATATTTGCTACTTAAGTATTCAGATTCTTCGATACACTTGAATATCCTCTGTTCTCATCAGACGTTTGTCACATTTCTGTGCAGGAAAGGATGTACCCAATTCAGAATGTATTCACCTGCCAATGTGAAAATGTAGTTCAATAATAGTCTCCTAGTGATTACATTTTCAATATTATTACTAATGATTGTCGGGGCAGCTACCTACAGAGGGAGTCATGGCAGATTGTATATTTTGAGAAAATCAATTTCAATAGTGTAATCGATGCATTAGTCAGTTTGTAATCCCTAAAAAGTCAGAGAGTACACAAAGACTGACCTTCCCTCTGCCCGCTGTGACAAAAGCAGCGTAGATCTGCCAGAACTAATCCTACCTTTGAGCAGACCTGATGATTCACGTTCTCGTCAATAATTAGATAGAACTGTGTATTGTGGGCTATAGCTGGCCTGGTAAACAAAGTGCATTGCAAAATCAATAACAAGCTAAGAGAGGCAGTACATTTCTGATGAAGTCAATGATATGTTCAGCTCAGTATGCAGGACAT